TTGCAATTTTGAGTTTTAAGTAATATGCATTAATAAACAATACTTTACGCATAAAAAATGAGTTTTAAGAGTTTTTGTCAAATACTTTATAATATAGTATAAATAACCACTTTCACCCTTCAACTTTCAGACTACTTACAGAAAATCCACCAAAGTTATTTATTTATTTATTTATTGAAAGACACTTTAATTTTAGAATTGGTATATTTTGTGTCTATGTGAGTTAATTTCACTAACATCACGTTAGTGATTCTTTTTTACTTGGTTTTGCATGCTATTTTAAATCCCCATATTAATATTCAAAAAACAATATATGATTTGGGGGTCGTTTACCTAAATGTTTACCCGGTAAGCGCTTATTTTAGGAGTCAACACTATAATTTATTTTACCGGGTAAGATTGTAGTATATTAAAATAGAGGCCTATGGAGGCCTTTTTTTGAGAACTTGACAATTTATGAGAACTGTGAGGTCAATTTTAAACCACTAAATGATATTAAATTAGGAAACTATTAGTTTTGGTGACTTTATACAAAAATCAAATAAATGCATTATGTGTATTTATAAATCTTCTCTCTCTCCTCCTTCCTCCCTTTTCTGTCTCTTCTCTCTCCTTCTTCATCCCCAACCTTTCAAACAACCTCCATCTCAATTTTTATGAACACAGTATCCACAAAACACATTCATCCTTAATACGTTCGACTACCACCCGAATTTTTGTGAACACATAGTGCACAACTTGGGCAATTTTCAAACGGGGTTATGTGGTGGGATGACAATGTGCATAATATGCACACCATCTCGATTAACGAGAATACATGATGTTCACAAGATCTGGATTCACCGGTGGCGTGCATACTTTGTGATCACATTGTGCACACTTTCGGAACAAAATAGTTATGAACACCTGATGCATTATATTGAAATTGAAAAAATGGGTGATGAGAGAGAACCCTAATTAACCCAACAATCAACATTAATCGGTTACTATGCACTAAAGCAGTAATACCGTACTCTTTTAAGTGTATCTTTTGTTTGTCTCAATAACATTTGCTAGTGACACCGTCATCTTTTCAAAAAAGAAGTTTCTAGTCTTTCGTCAAACTGAACATCCCAGCTCGTTACAATGTTCGATGTACTTAGTTTATAAAGCGTGTAAGCATGTTTTAAAATGACTTAATAATGGGTTTCCCTCCAAGCCATTGCTCATTCGGTTTTCCATTCTGCTACGCCATTTTACTGCATCGTATACATCGCTATCAATTCATGTCTAATATCATGATCTTCAAAAAGAATCTTAAAACAAATTAGGCAAGTATTCTTTGTTAATCTCGGATTTTCCTTTCAACCAAACGCGACGAATTCAATTCCAAATCTCACAAACCAAAGGGGTTGATCACAAAAGTAGTTATTAAAATGAAATATTAAAATTAAGATGTATCTCGCTGCATTATGCGAGTACCCTTTTAGTAGAAATTAACCAAGACAAAGAGACCATTTGCTGATGGAATAATAACAGGGTATTTATTAATTTCATAAAACAAGGAACAAACACTATATTACAATTTGCCAATCACCCTCAAATAACTTCACGTAAATAAACATGTATTATTTCAGACCCTTTAATTTGATCAATGCTTTTACTCAACATTTCCAACTTATCAGAATCTTCGTTCTAATTTCTTCAAACTTGTGTGCTTAGATCGACTCTAACGAACTTAAACCGTGGTATCCAGAAATGGGTAATCGGTGTATCCAACGACAGGATCAGGTGTATAAAACGTGCTCCTATCATACTTGTTAAGAGGAGCCTTAAGCTCGAATCTTTTTGGCAAATCTGGATTTGCCAAAAACCAACGACCATAAGCAACAAGATCCGTTCGGTTTTCAGACAAGGCTTTGTTACTGTCTTCCATATCATACCCTCCAGCAGAAATAAAAGTACCTTTGAATGCTTTTCTCATCGGCACAAGACTGTGAGGGCATTCGACTGCTTCGCCTAATWCTTTCATCCTTGGTTCCACCATATGGCAATAAAGAATCTTGTATGCATTCAAAGATTCAGCCATATAAAGACCTAAAGCTTTCGGATTTGAGTCCTCTGATTCCATGTAGTTTGCAAA